TTCTTCAGATGTGAAAGTTGTGGACAAACCTGTCTAAGCATTGTGAGACTCTTGCAGCACAAGAGGCAATAACAGAAATAGTAAGTATATCAATCAAGAAATTAAGCCGACATAAAGCAAAACTTTCAACTATTCGTCTAATCTCAATTTCCTATTATTTATTCACAGGACAACTATAGCAGACGGGGAGATATCAGAAGTCTGGCGACATATCAGTGACAGTGTGATTCCAAGAAATATAATGCATTTGAAAATAGAAAATTGCAATAGAAAAACAACCTATAGAGGCATGCAAAGACATTTGACCCTCCGGTAGAGTTGTGTATGGCCCCCACATCCTGCAGGGCATGAGGAAAATAACTAAAAATTCCAAAGCGTAAGATTGCATAAGCGGTCTTATTTGTAAAAAGGCACAAAACACGCCAGACATACTTAAAACAGCTTTGGAAATGAGGATTACGGGTACCTCACTGCACCTGTGTTATATTTGGTTCATCAACTTTTGGTAGTACTATAGAAGAAATTCCGGAAGGGGTATAATCATCATTCATGATAAAATACTATCATATATTTTTTGAACAACTTCAATCTAGACCAGGGATCTCAAACTCGCGGCCCCAGAGAACTTCCAGTGCGGCCCTCGAACGCTTAACAATATTTGTAATAGTATTTTGGAAGTTTTTTTTTTTTATCTAAATGTAATAGATTTTTCAAACCTTCTAAAGTGAAATTGATTATTCACACAGAAAACAATTTACTGAAAGTAGTTTTGGAATATTGATTTTTTTTGTCCACATTTTGACCCAATTAAGAATACACATCAAGCTAGCAAAAGAATACTTGAATAAAACACTTGAGTAATTAAATTAAACGCAAAGTACATGAAGAAGGTGGCATTTTCGAAGAAAATGGGAGTTGTAACATTTCTGCTCTTCACAAAATTCTGAAGCACATTGTTTAATTTGTCATATTTCCATCAATACAATCAAAAAACACAATAAGCTCAGCAGTCAATATGACAAATTCGAAGACCAACTTCGAACAGAAAATAGTTACTAAAAATCAATATCAATAATAATTCAAGCAATCCTATGCCACGCAATGTAGTGCGAAATGTCTTGTCGAAAAAATCTGTCATTTGTTTTTTTACTGATCTATACATGAAATGATAAAAGTAACTTTTTTGCATTACTGGAATTAATTAAACATTCGTAAAGATCCATATAAACCCATGATCATGTGGCCTCGTTATTTAGAGTTGGTACTATAAAATCATTTCAGACTGGCCTTAGTATGCTGGTGACACAAAAAAGATGCCAAACGCCAGGACAAATGTAATTATTAAAACATTGAGTTTATACTGTAGTATTTTTGTTAATTTTAGGTTCATATATTTAGATTAGGTTATTTTTAGTGTATGTATTATTCTTTCCTTATTCAAAGCTTGTTCAAAAATGATTTTGATGGTTGTACATAGAATTTTACGATTTTTTATAATAAATACTGTAACTTGCAAATGTTGCAATAATAGTGGAATGCAAATATTAATATGTAATTGCATTTGAAATTGAAGAAAATAATAAAACTTAATCCAACTGTTTAGTTGCATCACAATATATGTCACAAACTAAAACTATCTTAAAAATATCTTTTAAGTATACATTATCAAAAACTGTTTGCGGCTCTTTTTACAATTTTCAAAATGCAATGCGGCTCTCGAAAACCCATGAGTTTGACACCACTGATCTATTCTAGACGATTCAAGCATTGCTTTGGGAAATTATATCACTTCAATTAAATTGAAATAATCTCGCTATATTAAATACAAAATCGTTGCTATCATAAAGGTAAACCAATTCAGCCGCTCGAAATATACTGGCCTTCACAAAGCAATGGAGGCAAAATTGAGAGTTCATGAGCTATGAACATTTGTTCTTTTCTTTGTCTTGAACTTTCCATACTCCACAGCCCCTATTAATTTTTTTAAATTTTAATTACCATGTGTTGGTCATACATATCTTTAACTTGTATTTTCTGTCATGATGTATTATCTCAATGTGCCAAACTATTAATTAGTGTGCATATTTTGCTTCCAGATGACTTAATGTATTGTCATGTTTATTACCTCAGCTTGGAGTATTGACAAGAAAAAGGTGCCAGTAAATTAGGTAAAAAAATTTTCAACTCATTGTTATAATCAGAATTCACAATCAATAGGAATTATAAACAGCCAACAATCAGTGAGAATTATATGCGAAATCCCTCAGAATAAATTTGTCTAAAATCGGAGGAAGGCAAAAAATATAGGTAGTTTCCATCCACACAAGCATTTCAAGAAGCATTATGTACCAGCAATGTTACCTACGATTAACTGAATATGTAATATGTCTAATAAATTCACCTACAAAAGCAAGTTCGATAGGTGCAAACTTTGTGTTATGGAATTGTATCGCAGCACAGTTTTGTATGACACCCTCTTTAAATGAAATTTCAATGATTAAGCGCAAACATTAAAATTACTAACTTTGAACTTTGTCATTATCTGCAAAATGTTCCACACAAATCTTTCCGCTATCGCGTTTGTAATCTTCTCTGATAAAAAAAAAACGTCTATGATGTCCAGAATTGCTCTTTACAGCTTGCCTGTTATTCCAGCTTTCCAAGTAAGCAAAACTTCTTAGATATAGAGATTATTTTGTTTCGTTACAGGCGCAAAAAGGCAGGTACTATACGTAAAAAAGACGCCGAGTAGCAAGAGCGAGCGGAAAACGGACGCGAAAGGCGACGAGAAATATGTGCATTGGAGCGTATCATGAAATACAATGTTTTGCCTGTAGTCTTATGGAGTGACGTCAGAGTTGCCTATCATGTTGTTTAATGTCATTGGTGTAATATAGTTACCATTAACATTAGGCAAACAAATAGTTAATAAAACGCCACATACACCTATCTACCTGGCAACCTTTATTATTATTTAATTTATACTCTTATTTATTTTTGTTATCTTCTTCTCTCTTTTATAGCCCTTTCCTCTCCATCATTTTCTTTCTAACTCCTTTCTTCGTCAATCTGACTCTTTTTCTTCCATTTCTTACCTGCCTGGCCAAGACGGAATACTCGCCACTAGAGGGTTCAATGAGTGTGCATCAGGGTGCATTTCTCCGAACCCTCCCATGTGGCGGGAAATGTTTCGTCGAGGCCAGGCGTTCTGTTAATCTTTACCTTTTATTTTTCAGAAAAAGAAAGACCATCTAAAAGCCTCCCCTGCAGCAAGTAAGTATAAAAAAGTAAGTATCGGTGGGTTGAGGCCTACTTTAAGATAAAAAAAAAAAAATTTAAAAAAAAAAAAAAAAAAAAAAAAAAAAAAAAAAAAAAAGTAGTCGAGTTGTCTTTACCTCGAGCATCGATGACGTCACGTCGCAGAGCGTTTGCTCGACTGGTGACTGGTGAGTTGACGGGCGACTGCCCAAGGCGAGTTTAGACTACTGCAACCACAGACTACTAAGCTCACATTCATAAATATTTAAGTGTTACTGTGAAGTATAAAGGTTTTAATATATTTAAATGTGCTCATTTAATACCAATAAAGTTCATAAAATCAGGAATGACATATGCAAAATTCGTTATGCTATGCCCACCAGAAATAGTTGTGGTGCTAAACTACACTAGTAGACCCGAAAGATAGTTTTCAGAAATTGGCGATTGATAGTTTAAACAAGAAAAAGTATATTCCATTTAAACTTCATCAAATTCATTGTGTTTTCTTCTTGTTATAGAAACCACTGGACTAAGTACCGGTACCTTCCCTATTAAAGTATAATACTCGTCTTTCTTTATTAATAAAGTCTGAAAATGGGAGAAATCTTTGCAAAACACTTATATTTGGAAACTCGTGAATCTTTTTCATAAAAAGTGTATCAAGAGCTTCATTTCTGATTTATGCTGTTCTTGTTGTTTTGCGAATGCCTTCTTTTAATAATATCTGATGAAATTTTATTATAAGCCAGTAAGCCCTAATTGAGGGTGAAACTGAGCAGCTCATCTCCATGATATAAAAATCTCCATGTTATTGTGCATTATGAAATAACTTTTATTATGGCCGGTCTGTGGTTTGTGACTATACCTATGTTCCATAACTTCAGTTTCTCACGCTTTAACTCTGAGTATCAGTTACCCTTTACCTAGACCTATTCAAGTTAACCTTACTACGTTGCATTGCTGATATACAGTATACCATAGTTTTGATGAACATATAATAAGAATGGAGCTTTTGCCATTTTGAAATGAAATTAATTCTATAAATATGGATTATCTGTTGGTCCAGATTCCGGAATTACATTTATTTGGTTCAAGTATAAAGGCCATTAAAGGCTATAAAACAATCTTTGATGCAATTAAAATTTTATATTATAGTTTGATAATCATCTATTTAGCCTAGTCAGGTCTAAATATATACTGTATGCTTAATTCCATATACACTTGCATCCGGTCTTACTACTTACTGAATACAGCGGGAAACACCGCAAAGAGCGCAACGCAAAATAGCGCGAAACAGAGGGAAACAGCACAAAACAGTGGGGAAACAGCGCGAAAGAGCGCAAAACATAAGGAAACAGTGTGAAGCAGAAAAAATTTTTGCAATGAGTTCGGGGCATCTTGTTTTGAGTTGGGAGTACCACGGCAGCGAATTAAAAACACAAACCAACGTATGTAGCCAGTAATGCTGTAATGGCAGGTACCATAATTTAGAACATTTTCCATATGAATATGGTTGGCTTTAGGGTTAGGGTTAGGTAAAAAGGGACCTCCTGAAGTATGTGCACCAAGATGGCGCACAACCTGAAAATAGTATGCGTGTGTAGCGGATTCAGGTTGTGCGACATATTGGTGCACATACTTCTGGAGCACCAAAAAGGTACCGTAGATAAAATTTCGCATGGTGACCTATAATCCGGTACATAACCTTGTAAATATACCGGAAATAGCGCCATAAAACAATGGCGAAAGGCGCCGTGGTTCTTTCGTGGCAGGAGGTGGTAATGACTGCGTCTCCTGTTTTGCGCTCTTTGAGGTGTTTCGCGCTGTATTCAGTAAGTAGTAAGACCCCTTGCATCTGTAATTCCAATATGCTTGACTTGTGTATTCCGAGTGAATTGTTGTTGATCTTTTTCTCATCGTGATTTAGGGGATTATTGGGTATTTTTTATGTTTGCCATCTTTAGCTATATTCACCAAAGTTACATATTGCGGATTGTGCTTTTTTACTCTAGAACCAAGTTTCTTATATTGCATTTATGATACTTCCTCTGCTACCCAATATTTATATGTGCTCTTCGAGTTCTATATTTTTTATTACTGATTTAATTATTATTACTAACCGATTTAAATAAAAACTGTGCCAGTGGATAGGTCTTAGTCAAAATAAAAAAAATAACTGAGATATTGGCATTTAGTACTGCTTGAGAGGTCAATTTTTCTGTCGTGTATTTCATCTGAGTTTTCTAAATTTTCAAGAAATTACAAGCTACTGCAAGCAATCTGTAGTCGTTTTTATAAGCAGTACACCGACACAGCGTAATATTACTTAGCAAATGTGATGTGTACCTTTTTTGGCATGAAAAAGCGTGTTTTATAACATTTCCTTTGTGTTAGAATAAGTTTGTTACTTTTGATCTTCATTAAGGTTACTTTGGATATTGTGATTTTGTGTTTCAGTTTACTAGCCAAAATAGTTATAAATTATTTTTTTTGACCTGCTATAAATAGTATTTCACGAATGATGTTGTGGAGTACACTCAAGAAAAGATGGAAAAAACGTATTCCTGTAAAAATTCCTAAATGGAAGACTAGGCGCAAACAAAAGGTAATTATTCGTCCTGCCAGTGGAGATATGGGCAATGAATTGCTGGAGGAACAAAGTTTGGATGTTGATGATGCGAATGTTTCCATCGAGGAAGTTTCTTCACATGTCCAGGAGATGCCAAAGAGTTTTGTTGAAAAGGATTATGTAAAAGGCCCTGTCGAGTTTGTTGACTCATATTGGCAGTTGTCCGATCCATCAGATAATATATTTCACGATGTAAATGCCCATTCTAATTTTGATCAATTAAATGAAACCTGTGCAGAAGATGGATTTGGGGATGACAGAATAGGTGACATGATTTCAACAACAGCTCAGGATGAAAATAGAGAATGTAACGAAAAAACAATTGCTCTCTGGTCACAAAGTAAAGAAAAGCATGATTATTTGCCAATTCTGATCGATGTATCAACTGTTCCTCTGCAAGGCAACATACAAATTCGTATGAATTCAGATGGCCTGTTGTATTGCTGTTCTGATACTATAGTCTATTATGTGCTTGATACTCACACATTGCCATTGTCATCATATTCAACTAGCGATTCCGGCATATTGGCGTGTTATGGTGACCAGAAGGATGATAAACCCCATGTAAGCTTTGCCCAAAGCTTACCAAAAATGGTCATGGAATATGATTACGAACCTCTATCAACATTCATCATGTCGATGGTTTCCCCCTTGATGTCGGAAAATATGCACCATTGTATGGCTGTGACATATTGGATGAATCTATCAGTAGTTGCCTCCACCATGGTAATGTTCTCTGCATTGGTCTTAAAAAAAATGGCATCATTGGGCATCACTTTCACTATAGAGGATTTATACGGTTTTGATTTGCCAATGGAAAAGTTATATGGTGCTCTATTATCAGATGTTTCTACTCATAATGCTGTGAATTATGCGTTTGGTCAAATACTATCAACAATCGTCACCACGGCATCCAATCTATCTATGTCAAAAAACGAGTTTTTATCCATCGATGCACCAATAAAAGATTTGCACGATTCTAAAACATCAAATGCTGGTACTCTTATTAGTGTTGTTACTTACTGGAAAACTTCCTTATTGGCTGCACCTACATACAAAGGATTTTTTCCAAAATTTGACTTCAATTGGTGGTTTTGTTCACTTGATGTGAAAAAGAACGACGCATTATCCATGTTTAAGCATAAGGACAACAAACAACTGGATCTCGCCAACGAAAGAATTCTGAGAAAGATTGGAGTTTCTGATCCTGCCGGGAAAGTGATGTTACAGCTATCAAGTCTTGTTCCTTACACTTTGCAACGACTTGTTGATGGGAATGACACGAATGAAACGAAAAAACAATCTGGATCGAAAGGTCAACAATCAGGCAGCAAACAGAAACAACCACAACAGACAAATGGATCATTTTCCTATGGAACCTCCGCATCTAATGCTGCTGGAGGAGGCCGAGGGGAAGATGAAGATGAGGACGGAAAGAAGCGTCGTAGAATCCAGGATCGTGATTTTTATGATGATGATTCCGATAATGATGACAGCGATGAAGAAAAAGAGGAGAGAGAAGAAACTTCAAACCCTGGGTCGAATTCAAGAGATGAAGAAAAATCTGCTTCAAGCTCTGAGAATCCTCAAATTTCCGATTCTGCTGATATTACTCCTTCACCAATTCATCTTGGGCTGCATGCTAATGAAATTAATGATGGGGCCTCAACATCAAGAGGCACCAATGCTGAAATACCAATTGAGGAAGTAGATCGAATTTCTGAACGTCCAATAAGTATTCAGGTTCAACGTCAAGCGAACCCGGATCAACCAGCCAGGATGTCAAATAGAATTATAGATGGAAGACCCGCAATATTACCAACAGACAATGGATCCTTAAATACGTAAGTGCATTACAACATATTGCTTTTATTATATAGGCTACATACATTTCTAACTACTTATATAATAATTGGTGTTTTAAGGGAAAATCACTACGAACCCGATATCTCACCAAAGATTTTGCCTGTTCTGGGATATTTATGTTATCCAATTTTCTCTTATTGATTGGGGATATTTTCATTCTAATACCATTCATTGGATCTTCTATGTTTCAGATTTGGCCACAAGACAAGATTTAATCCAGATCATGTTCGTACTGTTGAATCGGATGGACCACAGCCTCCCCCTCCTCCTCCAGTACAATCACCACCTACGAATCGTGTCAATGAAAGTAATGGGACATCAGTAAGGAGAAATGAATTGCCTGATTTTGAACAGCAAATGTTAGGAACTTTGCCTGGTGTTCGTGGGCTATTTGCAGAGGTTAGCATATTTGAATTCTAATATTTTCAAAAAAATTGGAGGAAATTTGGCATGCTTTTCAATTGCAGAAGATTGCCAAAAAACTTTTCTATTCTCCATGAAATATTTTCTAATATGGAATAAATTTAGGATCCGTAGCTAAATAGTTATTATCTTCACATCCATGTGAAATTGATCAATGAAATTATTCAATGAAAATGAATTGTTAAGGTTTAAAAGAACAACACACATTTTCAAACCCAACTTTTCATACCAAACAATCACCACTTAGTAATTATCGACTTAACATATTCCATAATAATGCCAAACCGTCGATGTCAAGCTTGTCTGAGACCATTTTGTGACAGGTCATTATAACTTTGTGCATTGCCAACAACTCACCATATCCAATATGAGGTCGTGAGTACATTGTTGTGTAAATATAAATGACACAAACAAAACATCCTGTGGACTTCCATCTCTGGGTGTCAATTACTTCATCAAATATATTAGAGCAATACTCAAATACAGAGCGCACACGCACCCAGGATTTTCAAGTGGGGATACAAAATCGTAATTTCCCCATGCCATCGCTTCTGGAACAGTTGCCGTCATAACATCTCTCCTGAAATAAGCTTGTGGACATCATTATAATAAATGAATATATGTGTGCAAAGCACTTTGATAAAATCCCTAATTGGGCTCTAAACTCTTGAGCGTAGAGAAAGTAAGTGGAATTAGTACTGTACTGTTCATGATATAATGATTATTTGTAATTCAAGCTTGTAAGTGTTGGGATGATATTTTGGGAAAAGTACCACGATATGATATACTTGTTCGGGCTTCAATCATATTGGCATATTTAATTATATATCCTGTATTATACAATGTAAGCAACAGCATGCCAGAAGTATGCGTATCACTATAGAGGTAAATAATTTTGTTTGTCTTCTATACATCAAGTTGTGTAAAATGACTGAAACCTATGGGCATGGACAGTCCCCACTTTCTTAATAAAACTAAAATAAGGAAAAATTGGAAAAAAAACGTTGCCTAACCCTAACACGGTACACATACTACGGGAGTACGCAAGCAACAAAGTCATAAACACACATATTTTGGCCCTGAGCATTCTAGGTATTGCATTATACTCAAAACCACAAATTATCTCATTTAAATTTATCAATTTTTACACTGAACGCATGTAAGAAAAACAAAATAGTTAAACCTTTCAACAAGCCTGTAAAGGTGATAAAAATGTCATACAACACACTCCATATTTTTATTTTTGAATTTTAAGTTACCATTGTTGTGCCGACCAGCATGTGTCGTTTTTCAGAATTAGACACTCAAGATGTAATGAAACACTTGGAAAGTGTTGTGTGGATCAGTAATAAGTATTTTATTTTTTCGCCATCATGTATTGCGCAAATGGATGATGAAATGTAAAATCATTCACACTCCACTGCACACCTACACACGAATTGACTATATATACTGGTAGCTTTTAAATGAATGGAATTCTCCAATTAATGGAACACATTAGACGGGAGAGATCTTATGTGGTCTTCGTATCATTTTTTTTACGTTGTGAAGTATTGTAACTATATTTATCAATATTTGACATTAAGAGATTATCTTTAAAGACTCCAAGGCGTTGAACCTATTCTTTTTTTACTATTTATTTCAAATATTGTAAATTCATCCGTAAATAAGCATTAATATCATGATTTGATTAGAAAATGAAGATTGAAATTGTGATTTGATTTCAATATTCAATTTTTCTTGAACAATTTTTTTTCAACTAATTTTAAAAATAGAATTTTTTTTAAATATCATTCAATAATTACCTGTATATGTTGAATAGCTTTTACCCGAGGCCTAGACCTACTATGCTGTTATAGTTATTGTATTCTTATGTTGTAGCTTTATGATCAGTAGCTAAATAATTATTATCTTCACACTCATGTGAAATCAATCAATGAAAATGAATTGTTAATAAGGTTTAAAAAAACAACACACATTTTCAAACCCAACTTTTCATACCAAACAATCACCACTTAGTAATTATCGACTTAACATATTCCATAATATTGCCAAACCGTCGATGTCAAGCTTGTCTGAGATCATTTTGTGACAGGTCATTATAACTTTGTGCATTGCCAACAACTCACCATATCCAATATCAGGTCGTCTTATTCCTAGCAGCTTATTAACTCTTAATATCACTGCACATGTAAAATGGTATTACCCCACGGGCCATGGTATTAGAAATAAGTTTGAAGGTAAATAAAAAAAAATAAGTAATAAATTTCCTGTGTAACCCTTATCTTTAAACACACTTATCAATTGTTGTTGTAGCTGTGAGTACATTGTTGTGTAAATATAAATGACACAAACAAAACATCCTGTGGACTTCCATCTCTGGGTGTCAATTACTTCATCAAATATATTAGAGCAATACTCAAATACAGAGCGCACACGCACCCAGGATTTTCAAGTGGGGATACAAAATCGTAATTTCCCCATGCCATCGCTTCTGGAACAGTTGCCGCCATAACATCTCTCCTGAAATAAGCTTGTGGACATCATTATAATAAATGAATATATGTGTGCAAAGCACTTTGATAAAATCCCTAATTGGGCTCTAAACTCATGAGCATAGAGAAAGTAAGTGGAATTAGTACTGTACTGTTCATGATATAATGATTATTTGTAATTCAAGCTTGTAAGTGTTGGGATGATATTTTGGGAAAAGTACCACGATTATGATATACTTGTTAGGGCTTCAATCATATTGGCATATTTAATTATATATCCTGTATTATACAATGTAAGCAACAGCATGCCAGAAGTATGCGTATCACTATAGAGGTAAATAATTTTGTTTGTCTTCTATACATCAAGTTGTGTAAAATGACTGAAACCTATGGGCATGGATATTCACTTTTCTAACACAGACAGTCCCCACTTTCTTAATAAAACTAAAATAAGGAAAATTCAGAATAAAACTGTTGCCTAACCCTAACACGGTACACATACTATAGGAGTACGCAAGGAACAAAGTCATAAACGCACATATTTTGGCCCTGAGCATTCTAGGTATTGCATTACACTCAAAACCACAAATTATCTCATTTAAATTTATCAATTTTTACACTGAACGCATGTAAGAAAAACAAAATAATTAAACCTTTCAATCCTGTAAAGGTAATAAAAATGTCATACAACACACTCCATATTTTTATTTTTGAATTTCAAGTTACCATTGTTGTGCCGACCAGCATGTGTCGTTTTTCAGAATTAGACACTCAAGATGTAATGAAACACTTGGAAAGTGTTGCGTGGATCAGTAATAAGTATCATATTTTTTCGCCATCATGTATTGCGCAAATGGATGATGAAATGTAAAATCATTCACACTCCACTGCACACCTACACACGAATTGACTATTTATACTGGTAGCTTTTAAATGAATGGAATTCTCCAATTAATGGAACACATTAGACGGGAGAGATCTTATGTGGTCTTCGTATCATTTTTTTTACGTTGTGAAGTATTGTAACTATATTTATCAATATTTGACATTAGGAGATTATCTTTAAAGACTCCAAGGCGTTGAACCTATTCTTTTATTACTATTTATTTCAAATATTGTAAATTCATCCGTAAATAAGCATTAATATCATGATTTGATTAGAAAATGAAGATTGAAATTGTGATTTGATTTCAATATTCAATTTTTTTTTCAACTAATTTTTAAAATAGAATTTTTTTTAAATATCATTCAATAATTACCTGTATATGTTGAATAGCTTTTACCCGAGGCCTAGACCTACTATGCTGTTATAGTTATTGTATTCTTATGTTGTAGCTTCCATGGACATCCAGAAATGAAGATGAAAGGTGATATTTATGCATGTGCTATCAGCATGTTGGTTGCTATTAATTCATCAGCTGCTTATTTAACAATGATTTATCATGATAGCAATAACTGATTGTTTTATGATTTTACTAAAAATAATAACAATGTTATGCATCTTAGAAATAATATTTATTTTATTTATTTATTTTTCAACTATTTTTGATGTTCATCAGAATGTTCCAGCAATTTAGACAGTCCCTGGATGTGTTGTGCTGATCTCTGCACTTATGCCCAAACTCAACTTGATTAAACTAAGGTAAATTAGTAACATCAAATCCAACATATTTTTTCTGTAGTGTTCATATTCAGATCCAATTTTCAAGCATATTGTTATTGTCAACTTTGAAAATTTGATAAGAAAAATGCCTAATTTGACAAATCATGATTTTTTCTAAATTCATGCATGTGCTGTAAATTACAACTCAATGTTTTTTCAATTATTCTCTAATTTAAAATTGTATTTAATATTGAGAATTCTGTAGTCTGCCAGTGATTTTTGTCTTATGTTTACACAGTATATAATACAGGGTTTTAAAAAAGTAACGCAAAATTAACAGACGTTAAGATAAAATGCTACTTAAAACATTCAACGACTGACACCTTTTAACAGTATTAAATTATAGTGAAATGCCATTCAAACATTTCACAACTGACGCTTTCTATCAGTTACTTTTTTTTTAACATTGCCATTACGAAAAATTTTACTTGCATAACTTTTTAACACCTTGCAGTATTTTATTGACAATTTCCTAATAATGCTGGCTAATTAGCTTAAATCATCTCGGCTGCTAAGCTTATAGATATGTGTATTTTATGGCAAAGTTATCTTCATTTAACACCCAATCGAACATGAGACCCGGTTTTAAACCGGCGGTTTATCATATTTTTAGATTGTGGTGTCCTTTTATGTAGAATAATGAAAAAACTTAGATTCATACTAACAATCTTATGACATATTTATTTTAGTAACATCTCCAAAATTACCAAGTCTGAAAAATGTGTGTTTTGATATTAATGTGTAGTGATAGCATTGTACTCTGGTATCTGGACTGTTGCTACTTGTTTATACGCATTTATAGCAAACTAAACAAATGACTGCAATCACTGCATGATATGATGGTATTCACTGTTACAGTTTGATGTGATGAGAAATTGACAATTACATATTTATACTCAGATTGCAGCCGACATCTCAGCCTGACAGATTACAGCTGGGCCCACAAAGTCGTGATTATACTTTCACTCTCCGTTCTGAGAGGTGAGTCTGCTTTAGTATCTGTATCCTCATATACATGCTCATATATTTTATAAAGTTGGAATTCTTTACTACATGAATGTTGCATGTTGCAGGTCTTGTTTAACTACCCTTACAAAATTTAAAATGATGTCCTTGTCCTTGATGGAAGAGGCCATCAGAGTGGCTATTAGGATTTAGGGCCATATTGCCACCCACACCTACACACCCAACGTTGTATGAAATTATGCATTTTCTATTCAGACAAGAAAATGGTCACAGGATTGAAACTTGGAGATGGATTCCCACGACTTCTGCCTGCGGTATAGCTTCTATCCATCCCAACAGACAGGTAGCCTACAATTGTTACATCTGCAAATCAATCTTGCATTCTGTATAATCAGCAGTGTGTTCTAATGATTGCCTTCTAAAATTTGTCTTACATTCACAGATGGTTAAAACCAAATAATTTTTTATTTTGATCACATTCTAATATAATATTTATGAATACAGATTATCGAGAAATATTCTGAACTGACCTTGTTCAGCAAAGCGAAGTTTTCAAGAAGGCCCCTGCTCACACTCGATTTTTACTTTTATTGCTTTGAAACTAAGACCAGGGTTCCAATTACTAAATAACTTAATAGTATCTCCCTATTTTAAAAATGAATATCTAACTTTCCAACAAAAAAATGGTTCAGCTATAATTTCTGAAGTACATTATGGTAAATTATTCAAATGAATAGACATTTTCAAAGCATGTTGAAAATGTAATGAACTGCCATTAAAAGCATAACATAGCATTTATGACAGGGAACACAAGTCAAAGATAATGCCGTGATTTAAAAATCATGACTAAAATGATGTGAATGCTTTGCTATTTGATTAACATATTGGTTTTTGAAAAATTTAGCATTCTCTGGTACATGTATGCACCATGTTTCTTACTTTCACATCATAATGTTTATAGTGAAAAGTGGGATGTTGTTTTGGTTAAATCTTGTACTAAAAAAAAATAAAGCATTTCATTTTCTAATTTAACATTAAATTAAGGAACGACCTGGAAGGGCTGACATGAGGGAGTCAAGGCGTTGTCCTGATTGCAATGAAGAAATATTGGGCATATTCACCTATTGTCGTAATTGTGCTAGACATATCTGTGGATTGTGCTGGATAAGCCATGACTGTCAGGTAAGTATAAATATGACAAGGCTTCCATTAATATATATATATCATTTCCAGTTCATAACACCTTACGTGATGGGTCATCATAGGCATCTCGTGGTTCCAACTTTTCTGAAATGTGTGGTCCTGGGTTAGTAATGAAATAATTTTGCGAAATTGGTAGGCTGTTTTGAGAAGAGAGTTCTTAAGGTTTGTTTAAATCTTTGATGTAGAGAAAATATGAAAACATTTTGAAATCATATTAATTAGGCCTATGAAAACTAATCTTGTATCGGATCAGACTGAAATTAGAAAACATATTGTGTTATGAATTGACTGAAATGCTATTTAGTGGTTGCTTGGGCCGAAGAGAAACCCTAATATTATAATCAGAAATACAACACATTGGGCGAGTCTTGGTCTCTGTGACTTGTTGGTTGTCGATCTTCCATATATAGATTATTGGGCTGTGGGTTCGAATTCGTAAACGAAAAAATAGCTGTTTTCCACTTTATAGAGAAGATATATATTTAAAAAGGGCAAGCAAAATCAGTTTAGTTATTTTATATACAGTATCTCATTCTAAACATGCTATTTTTTATTTCTTAAGTATTCGAGTTTTTCCACTTTCTGCTGACCATGCTACATTTTTGAAGACTCCCCATTTCAAAAATATTCCGCACCCTGTTATAAAGCATGCGTTTTTGCTTATGCCTCAAAATTTCTCTATTACCCAATTCCAACTTATCTTTCGTTGGTTAAAAGCTCAATATTTTAACTTTATACTTTTTTGTATTTTAGCGATGGTTCTAGTTGAAATGACTCGTCATATTGGGAGACATCTACGAATGTAATCTTCGAAAAGAAAGTCATTTCTAGCTTATTGTAACAGTTTGTTTTCTGGTAGATGATTGTATAGCTATCTTGGCATCTCTCCACTTTCCATTTTGATGAATTTAAAGTAGACAAAATGGAATAGCATGTGCACTATGCCGGAATCTAATATCAATTGTTTCATGTGAAAAATTTGCCTGTATTTGTTACTTATCATGTATGTTATCTAGGATTTTCTGTATAATAATCAAGTTCATGACATCCCAACGCTTGTGTGCTCCTGCTAATGTATATAAAAAATTTTCATGTTTTGGACCTTCAACCAGAACTTCATTCAAACCGAATCTCCAACATAATATGCTTTGTGAAAAAAGTCATATAAATGCTTGAAATTCATTTTAATATACAGGTTACTGAAGAATATTGATATCTTGACTTTTTCCAACTAAAAAAATTATGGTACTCTAAAAAAGTCAAATTAGAATTAAATTATTGAAAGCCATGTTGCCTGTTTTGTGCCATTCAATTTCTGAATATTAATTTTGCCTTCAATTCTTCATATATTGTACCTTGTTGATGTGCAAAATTCTATAAAGTTCATTACCTGTTTGTGGCAATCGGTATAACTGTTCAAATCAAGCAGTATAAAACTGTTCACTTATTTACTAGCATCTGTTAACTATGTATTTTTTTGCCAAGGAGGAATCTTGGGTTGAAATATATAGTAAGTTCATAATATATAATTTGATATATAAATTTTTAATCGTTGATTATATGGACATTGAATGTTCCAATTGTATTGATGATTTAAATTTATAATTATAGGTATCAACATTTTTGTTCCCACATCGCTGTCAGCATGGCTATGTTAGATATTATTTTAATCAACTCGTCGTCATGATTTTTTAACATTATTGCAGTTAACTGTATTTTAATGAAAACTTATATAATGCTTGATTTGAATGTAGTTGAATATATTACTCATATATGCATGCATATATTTGTCTTTATGCTGTTTCATTTGCATTAGGAATTCGAGCATGTGTAAATAGATCCGCTACTGAGTTGGAATGGCTTGGGAGTCTGCACTCGCCTGAAGCGTTATGAAGGGAATTTGAGTCAGTGTGGTAACGAAGCATGAATATGCTAAATCTTAAATGGAGGATAGAAAAATTGGTTTTTATCCCAACTAGGGTTGCCAACTTTGTGGTAAACCATTCCGGGACACTTGATGATCGCACGGCGTTATTTTCACTAACTTCAAGCCTGTAAATAATTTTATTTTAAAGAAACTTTTGATATGTTGACTCTTTGAGGCATGAATGAGAAAAAAATAAAAACAGGAAGAATGTACAATTTGTGCAAAATAGATTTAACTATTTAACAAAAAATCAGTCTTTCTGGTATTCAGATTTATATTTTCTTGTGATTTTGCCGCTTTAAGCAGATCTTTGTTAAATCGTACAAGTGAATTTTCATGGTAATCTCCTGCCCAAAGTTCATGCTAAAATTTGTAATCCTTCGGAAATATAATAATCGATGAACCCTCGCTAAGACAAAGCCTAAGCTGTCAGAAAGGCGTCCAAGATGGAAGGATATGCAAGCCTGAAAACTGACTGAATAAGATGCACTAGCAGTGCATGATAAACTAAAAACATAAAACGTTTTTACAAACCGCTACTTTAATGAGTGCATTTTTCAAAAATCTCCAAATTTCACTGAATTGTTTTATTTTTTAAAGCTTTCCAGTTTCAAACAAAGCCCACACGCTTACTTACATTGACTTCTATTTTAGAACGCCGTGGTTGTTAGTGAATTCCGGGACAACCGTAGCTCAGCCCGGGACACCAGAGGTCAATTCCGGCACTGTCCCGGACATTCCAACATGGGAGATTTGGAATGATGTTTTATTGAAGCAGAAAAAGATCATTACTAGCATTTTGGGGGGGGGGTTACGTTTTCGGAAGGCTCCGATGAATGAATACAGCAGAGAATAGATTTAATTCTTTTGTCATGCCAGGAAACAAACGTGAGTTCATCAGAGTCTACTACCACCCAGTACAAAATACATATGTAAGTAGTTGACGGGTCCCAATGTTTTTACTCTCATCATATATATTCAAAAATTAAGTACATTGTATACAAATTACCGTGTTGATAAATTGAATAATTTTTTGAATGAATATAACGATGAGCAAGCCGTTACTAATTTATAAGTTGCCAGAAGCCCATTTTCGAACAAATATAAGTTTTTATGATTACAACCTAATTTGAGCCAATTTTCGGACCAAGAACTTTAAGACCCGGTAAATTGTTTTGGCTAATTTCTCCATCCAATCGCACGTGCACGTTAGTTATCAATTATGTTTCTTAGAATCAATTATTTTAATGTTATTTGAATTTGGTTACCTTCAAATCAAATTCCCTAATACCTCATCATTATATAAAGGTAATTATCGCCTAATTATGTATACTAATCGTGCTAACCCGACAAATAATTTCAATTAAAAAGTGCCCATTGGCTTATTGAGCCCTTATTCGATCTGAACATGTAATGCAAAAAGAGATCTTAGTTTTCCATATAAAATTATATTCTGTTCAACGCACTTTCTCAAACAACTATCAAAGTTATTCTTGTCCAGCCAATATTACACACTCACAATAAATCTGATCCAAATATTTATCAGCCGAACAAATCACATTTATTAATTAAATAGTATACAGCAATAACTTGATTCGGCACAACATAAATACGAAATTATCAAAGCGGACAGCAGTCTCTGTCAAAGAAGCCCGTGCAGGAGAATTCAAGTGACGCGTCACAGACTACTCACAGTTCATGATTATTGCGTCATAATCACTTTGTAGAAGACGACATACAGTATTATGTAAATCTGTAGTGTAGTGTAGAATCAGAGAACAATAACCTATCCTACATGTCTCAACTTAGGATTTTTGTTGCCCCTTACTTTTTCAAAAACGATAGCTCTGTATTCCCCAACACCATCACTTACAACGACTGTTAATAGGAAGTCTATTTGTAGAACGTTTAAAACAATTTCAATGCTTTTCACGATATTCGATTGCGTTTCACCAAATTTGTAACGGGAGTTGTGACTTCTATCTATTTCACCCTCGTGACGTAACCGGTACGATACAGTATGTCCCATTATACATTTACTAACTAACTACCTTCTAATTACATTAGTCACAAAGTCTTCTCTGAAAAACGTCAACGGATATGCGCGTTTGTGGCGCCAAATTTTTTTAATTAATTGGTTGTGTATTGAACTCTCACGTCGTCTTATAATCTCAATTTCAGTTGATTGTTCCAACCAAGATTCGATTTCCCCAAATTTTTTTAAAAAAGTTTTAGTAAATGAGTAGTCGGCCATTTTCACATAAATTATTTTATTTAAATAAAGCACAGTGATATATTAGCTGAACATACAGTTTCAGATAAATTAGATATTCAGATAAAAGTCAATAATTGTATATAATATAGAATTACAATAAGGAAATTCTTAAATATATGGCAATGAAGGTCAAATAACACCCGCGATGTCAGTAATTCCTATTAAATATTAATTGAATGTACCAGATGTCATTTGAAGGTGTGCTCATAAATTTAAAAAAAAATAGGAAAATTTACGACTAAAAAATTTGGCCCGTAGGACTCGTAAAAGTAATAGCATTCTAGTGTTTTTTTTTCGATTCATGAAATTTTAATATTTTTTGAAATAACAGATTTGCTACAATAGACGGACTGCTTCGTCGTCAGACAAGTCCAATTATCACAGAATATATATATATATATCATGCTGTCTTGCTTTACGGTGAAAATTTCGAATATTTATTTATGTTTTCTTGGGGTTCATTGGATAGAAATAATCAATCACAGCGTATCTTTAAGATAGCGAAATTCAATTAATCAAACTAACAGATTGGTCTGTAATGTCATTTTTTCCACCGTGCTTCCGCAACCACATAGAAATTTTAAATTCCATTTTGTGATATTAGGCTGTTGAATCATTATGTGTTTAAAAGCATTGCATTGTTTACCGGCAAACAAGTCATCACAAAACTGACAGAAATCGCTCGATTTTGTCAATTATAGTTTCCCAATTTGTTGAAAACAATCGTGAACTCGCGGAACAGGTGTCATTTCTCTCTGCAGCAGAGATTTTCTGATTTTGAAGTACATATTTCAATAAAGAAAATTATAGATATTTCATCATTGTCATTTCATACCATTTGAAATCACGTATTTAAATCGATTATACATTCCTGAAAAATAAAATGAAAATCAGTATTTAATAAAGATTATTAATAAATCTAGAGTAAAGTTACGAACTGTAACATATCATGTATTGTTGATTTTTACTCATGTAACCCGTTGCCTTGAAAATTTGCAGAATGGACAGAATGAGGTCAACAGAAATTAAATTAATTAACCAAATTCATAATTGGGAACTGCTAGCCTCTTTGTGAAACTCTGTATCGAACATTTGGTGAGTGATATATATTAGACTTTGAGTTCTAACACAATTAATATACAGATAGAGTACAAAATTTGTAAATAATATATATAGTTAATTTTAGCAACGGATTATTCTCACCTCAAACTTTTCGCAAAAATCTCGAAGTGAAGAATCTTGGCACGTCTCTGTTTCCCAAAAATAGTTCAACATTATTTCGTACCATTGATTTTGTCCTGCTTCCAATGTTTCCACCAGTCCCGGATCATTTTCGGCAATTTCATACAATAACTCATCATCAAAATCCAACTAAACAAATCATTTTATGTTGTAATAGCAGTTATAAATAACCCAACGTTCCAAAATGGCCGAAACAATTAAAAATTGAATGCTTGGTTTATCGGACTAAGTGTCAGAAACAACGCTCATGCCTTTGGCTATCCTGGCAAGTCGTTTTCAGGTTCGAATTCTGTTGCTATTACTCTCTATTATCGTAAGGTGAATCATGGAAGCGCTGAATATACCGGTACTAAAATGACTTACTGCGTATTTCGAACAATAATCGATGTAAGACGTTGTCAGTCCGAGAAGCTGCGATAATAAATGAGAGTGACCGCCACTTGGTGGTATTGGAGAATGGCAACCTGCAAAATGAAATTATAAATAGAATTCGCATGTAATAATTATTAGTTAATGAGCATTTAGTGCACAATGACTTGTCATTTCAGTTGTATAACATGCTAGTTTACCATTTACTCGAAGATAAAGATTACCAACGACAAAATTCGTTAGTATTCAGTAGAATATTCGACTTTTTGAACATCTTCAAATCCAATTTTATCAACAAAGTATGATAATCAACGAGTTATGATAATTGTTACTCATAAATTCTGTGTTACCTATACATGGAGGTATACCGGAACTCAGCATCAGGAAAAGTATGATTCCATATTTCATGTTGTAGAACTCCATTTTGATTCAACAAACCTTTAAAAGGTCTATGTATCACAAGTTCTGTTCCTATTGAAGGCCAGTAACCAAGTAACCAAAATATCATTCTATTTCGCATTTATACGATCGGTTTTAGTTCAATTGTTCATTATTTTTTAGTCAGGCTATAATTATGAAATTAATAACTTTGATATAATAACGGACATATCATAGGACACATGACATTTGATAAGTCTAGTATTTAAATACTTACATAATTTTATTTTATAATTTTGAATGAAATGTTGAACCTCACGCAGATTATTTTCTTTGGCCAAACACGACAAATGCATAGGTTCAGATTATTTCTCCTAACAATGCCCAAAGAAAGGATTAAATTGTAATTGCCAGGAAATTAATTTGGTTCGTTTGGAAACTGGCGATATATCAATTTAATGTCTGTCTATGTGTTTCCAACCTTTTTTGACATATTCCTCTCGTTATCTATATTTCCGATTTTTTTCACATTCCCCCTTCACTATGCTTATAAATTATATTTCCGTTATTTGTTCAATCTTTGGAGGATGCTTAGATAGTATTACACTCAATTTACATCCTGGCCATTGTACAGTTTAAAATGTGGAATCAGAAGTTGAATTTAAGAAACTAACAACAATACTTATCGATGTTGATCGGTCTGTTTGTTTGTTTATTTGTCTGTCTGTCTGTCTGTCTGTCTGTTAGATACACGCGATATCTCACGAAAGCGTGGTTGAATCTGCTCCAAATTTTGCATGTGCATTCATCATATCTCGAACCAGAAGCCTATTAATTTTAGATGAACTGTGTCGTATAATTAGCGAGTTATTAATTAATTGGTGATGGGGCACGTGGTGTCGCTATTGAGTTAGAGTGAAGGATAAACACCGCTAGATCGATCGGTCGGCGGTCTCTGATCGCTATCTCGTTAAAATATTGTTACTTCAGGATGTCACCAACAAGATATCGTACGAGCTTTTCATCATTTGATATTACCATATATACATATTTAAGGCAGTTTCAGAGAGTCGTGTGGCAAAAACAGTGCGAGTGCATATAATGTTGTGACTTTGATCATTTAGGATTAATTTAACGCTGTGAATCAATCTGACCTTAAATCGGAGTACTGACTCCGAAATATTTTGTTTGACTCCATCAAATTCAAAGTTTTGACTCTAATTTCTTACACCGGGCAATTCTAATTTAAAATTTTGTCACCAGGGATTTATAAACGACCAAAAACGTTACAAAATCGCCAGACTGTCTTCACCAATTTCTAGAATTTTCCGATTTAGAACATTAAACTGATTTCATTAGTAATTAGAAATAAATGGTGGTCACCAGTTCAAATAAATTTAGGTAGCCTATAATTGATATGTTTCAGACAATGGTTATTTTGGTACAATATAAGTCGTACTTAAAAGGATGTAAGAATAATGAATTCCGAGAATTGCTGGGCAAAAAGAGATTACCGATAATTGTATTTACAGAGAAGACCACAAAAGGTGAAGTTTCTTAAAACCACTTAAAAAATTAAATATTATTCAGCTATCTAATTCTCAACGATAAAACTCTGCATTGACGCAAAGAGAAGAATAAATATGAATTATGGAGCGTATATTTTCAAAATGTTGATTAACCTCTTTGATATCGGTACTTGTGAGCTGTGAGTGACTGCTTTTTAGTGATTTTGTTCGACTTCTGTTCGAGGTATTTTGACTTTACTTTGAGTACAAATTTACATACCTCTGTCCCTGTGAGCTGCGTTTGGGTGAGGTTTTTGACATCCGAGCAAGATGTTTTGATTTTGCGTAGAGTACAAATTTTTAAAAATAAATCTTAATATATAGATGGCATTTATTTTGTTTGTGCAAATCTGGATGTCATCATTGGATAACCACATTTGATTTTCTAGAATCGTTTTTTGTGTTATGAATTGTGTTATTTATATACTTTCCTGTTGTTTTGATATGGCGGTAAAAAAAACTACTGATTACTGCTTATAAATAACTGAATACAGCTTTGCAAAATACCAATATTTATATTATTTCCATGTTTAATCTCTCATTGTAATGTGATTAATCGATTTAGATAATAGGGATTATAACAAAGGAGTTTAGGTACTTCTATATATTGTATATATTATATTGAACTAATTTCATGGGAACTGGGATCACAACACTTCTAGAAAATTTCTCGCGACGTTTTATTTGATTAATGAAACGACTGATGTGGCTAAATTAGTTTAATTTGTTTAATTGCTTTAGGCCTATGCGGAATTCCACAAATTGAGCTCAAATCGCCGTATTAAGATTGTCGAAATTTTTACATTGAATTGCATAGTAGATATAAAACTTTTTCTTGTCAAACTATGCTCTAGTAATCATTTCGATATACACGGCCCAAACGTCACATGTGATCAGTGGATCAAATTGCAAGTTAAATCCTACTAATCTGATGATCACTGACAAAATTAGTGAAGATCTTTCTTTTAATTTCAAACTACTAATAAAAGGAAGGATGACTTCGCACCCGCTCCATATTTAATGTTAAAGTAAATATATTAAAGAAATAATTATAGAATTAGAATTTCAAGTTTGAACTTCATTATTCTGGCGAAGCCCGATAAAAATATATTTCTCAATTAAACTGAACGAGCTGTCGTAATTATTAAATAGTATTCTCAATATGGAGACGTCATTGAAACGGCCGCATGCATGATTTTTGGGATTGATCAAAAAGGTAGGATGGAATCCCATCCGGTTTTTGAAATATCGGCGTATCGATATCGTCGGAAAAAGTGGTATCGGAACATCTCCAGTACCGTGTTCACGATCTTAATTAAGATGGTATAAACAGGCAAAACGGTAAAAGACAAGTCCTGTCACAAAGGCAACTAACCAACTATTCGCAAATCAAGTTTACTATACGAATCCACGCCCGATTTTCTCGATCTGTAGCCTACTTGAAGCGACTAGGTAGCTTTTAATGGCGTCCTTTTTTGTGAGATTTGTGTCTTCATCACGCTCATGAGAATTCCTTTCAAATAACTCCCAGTTCAGAGATTTTGTTTACGCTCATCTTTTTCCACTTATGTGCCCACACAATATCGCACATATCCCACATAACATTTTCTAAAGCTCGCTGGCACTCTTCGGATGACCAACACAAACACCTCAAGATTGCTTTCATTTATTTACAAATGAAAACCAACATTTTTACGGACGGAGATGGCTTTCAAAACCGTCGTCCGTGATTGCTATTAAAAAGCAACAAAAAGAAGTAAAAAGAGAGAATCTGTGACGAGATAATTGTAATTGATTGGGGGAGAATAAAAACCACGCCCAACGAGATTTTCTCTTCTATCCGTTTTTCTCGGCCAAGAAGGGCGGGAGAGATCTCTCGTCGGGAATGCCGGTAAGAACAGTTTTGCGCCTGTGAAGATTTAGTCACAGAATATGGATAAAATCACAGTAAAAATGTCGTAATTTTTGTAAAAATCGGAATTTACACGTTTTTTTCATATAAAAAGGGAAGATCACATTTTTCAAATGAGGCGCATAAGTTGACAAAAGTCTATTATTAATATATGTACGAATTAGTGTCTGAAAAGCATAATTTACATTTAAAACAGTCTGAAATTTGGTATTTTACAAAGTAAAAGCACAAAACTGACTATAGAGTAACAAATTTGAAGACTTTTGTTCAATTTGGCAAGCAATCACTTACGAACGAACACTCATAAAGAAATCATTCAACTTCGTAAACACCAAAACGGTATGAACGTACACTTGATTTAAAGTGCATAATATATAACTCTAGGCTGTAAAAAGGGCGCGTAATAAAAACAAAATCGCCATACACGGAAGTTTGGTCATTTTAATTTTTTTTTGTCGAAATTCGAAATTATTCGCGCATTACCTATACGATTTTAAGCAGCACATGCAAATATGACGTCACAAAGCACCGAATGACGTAGAAATAGTAATGCGATTACTTGAACACAGTTTCATTAAACAAAAATTTAGCACTTTGGATGGTTAATATTCCTCTATAGTTTTGATGTCGGTAAGCAGTTGAAAGGACGGAAATGTTAAACTATTAACATTAGTTGGGGAGTGGAGTAGACTTTCAACAATTAAGACAAATAATTAAAACAAGGAAATAAAGAAAAAAAAACGTTTCATCATCATAACAAATTTTATCACTGAAAACATCTTTACTAAAATATAAACACTTTAAATTCCTTTTTAATAAAAATTATTTTCAAGTGTTAATCAAGTAAGTTATTATTTACAAGAGCGAATGTTATAGGATTATGACCTGAAGGAGAAAGAGACAATAGGTGCCGGCGCAATGTATCATAATTGAACTTGCGTTCCCATCCAGTCACAATACCCCCAAAACGCTTTATGAGTAAAATTACGGTAGCAAAATAAATATTTTACTCTTATTACAGGGTGAGAGAATCAATTTCTTTAATAACAAATAAAATCCAAGTCAAAATCATTATTGAATAAACAGTAAAAAAATATCTATCTAAGTTTCGGCATTCAACAAAAAAATAAGTAGCCTAAGTCAACACAAACGATTTTAGATTTTGATAAAACTTCTCTGGTAATTTAAATAACGTCTAAACTTTATAGAAAAAACTCAAAAACAGGAAAAATTTGATCATCACATTGTAACAGACCAATATCTCAAATTTAAAAAATTTTGCAAAATGATTATTAGAGTAATCGTAACTCTATCAAAAATCAATCTTATTATTGCTTTATCATTCATCATAAACAAAAACATAATCCTATACTATTTTTCTATTTCTTTCATATTTTCAGATAAAACTTTACTATTTACAAGTGGGATTGTCTCCCATCATAAAAAAAACCTAATGAAGTGACGAGACAAAGACATTTGACGAAAAACATATATAAACAACCATCACTTGAAAACGGCACAAACATTTTGTAAAAAAAAAAGAAAAAAGGCATGAAAAGAATCGAACAAACAATAATTTTTCTCTTTTCATTTGAAACGCAAAAATCGAGAAACGCTTCTTGAAATATCGACACGAAAGCCAACGATGGATCCCCACCGTGACGTATTTCGTTAAAACAAAACTCTGGTGAAGATCACTTCTGTTTGTTATTTAATTCTATCAAAATCAATTTGAATCAGTCTTTTTTCCTCGAATCTATGTCACTGGAATCAGCAACATCATTGTTGAACGATGTGGCTCTCAACAACATTGCACAAACACCCTGTAAATGATATAAATATAAATGAATGTTTGAATCAAACAGAAACTGAAAACATACTGATACGTCAACGCAACATTTTGATTAATATGAAGGAACAAAGAATCGCCTTTCTCTTTAATCATCGAACCGATGGCTTTCGAATCGTCAGTAGTTGAATATAGAATATATGTCTCGCGAGGTGCTTGGTTTATTGCTTTTGTATTATCTGGTACCGATCGTTTGACCCATTATGCTAATTGGATAAAATAGGTGAGCTACTGCGTGAATATTTCACCAAGCTCGTGGTCAACAAATAGCGGGAAGAATCGGTAAATACTACAGGTAACGGTAGTTTAATTTGTGTTCCTACTGTGCAAACAGTATGATTCAATGTATAATAAAAGTTATGCTAGTGGGACTTGCACCAGATGAAAATGTTTAACGAATGAGACAGTAGTATTTCATTACCTTACTTTTATGTGCTATACTGCTCCTCATTTGCACTAACAACTGGTTGATGGTTGACTCCATGACCTAGAGCTTCTTCAATCTGGCAAAGAATTTGGTATATTCATTAACTATAGAGTAATTTTAGCCTACAATAAAACGGTGTACGAAAGAAAAGTTTATTATGTTTCTGTGCTACATCAGAAGATTCATGCAATTTAGTAAGATAACTATGACAAGGCAGTCAACTTGAATGTTCTTACTACAATCGTAAAAGGTTCCATGTCTGTATAGATTAAATTAGAATTTAAATATATCAATCATCTCAGTTACCTGCAAAGGCATATTTGGAGCTGCAGTATAATGAGGAATGTATGATCCGGGCACTCCATTGGGTCCATACTGAAAACAAAGAGTTGTACAATTACACACAGAGAACAAAAATGTCTCAGAATAGGCTTAGATGATTAGTTTGAATAATAGTAGAAAATTTAGAAAAATATGGCAAAGTACATGAATGGTGTATAGGAATATTGAGAACTTGAACTACGCTGTAAACTGTTTGCTACTGAAATATGTCGTAAATATTTACCTGTAAGCTGCACTCATACAAGTATGTACATTTTACAACATAGCATCAACCTATCTTTTGATGAGTATCACTCACACGAAATTTCACTTTCCTTTTCCAGTAAAACTTTACTGAAAATCTTGTACAGTCTTCCTTTGTATATGTTACGTCTTCGCCCGATTTAGCAATCCAATAGCCTTAAGCCCATAACTGACTTTTCCACTCACTTCATTTCATGAAAAAAAACTAACCCCTACAATAGGAATTAGGAAATGAATCTGCAGAAGTCTCGTAGCAATTTTTGTCTCAATTTACTCACTCATTTGCTCACCTAACGACTGTCTAAGGTTCTTTATTTTAACTTTCTGGTTAGAATCAAACTGAAAGACTGCTGGCTCTGACAATCTCACTGTCTCCTATTCATGGAAATCGCATACCATTATTACAATAACAAACTCCAATTTATTTTCAAAACCTCAACATTGAACTCAAACTAACTGTTAAGAACAAAGAAAACCAAACTGAACTAAACTCAAACTTATATACAATACCAAGAACGCAAATGCTAAAAAAAAACTTTCAGAAACAAAGAAATCGAACTAATAAAAACTTGTAACAATTAACGAATTCCATTAGATTGAACAACAAAAATTAAAAAAATAATTGAAGTTAATTGAACACATTTCATTAGGTGTAATATTTGCATTTCATTAGGCAAAAAGGTATGTATACTGTCAGTAGATATGTGAAGTATGTAATTCTCATTTCCCACAAACATTCGATTTTTAAACAAAGCATATAGAATTGTGTGGAATAAACGCAATTCCATTCCATAAAACTTTTGTAAAATATTTATTTTCTAGGTTGTGACTGCTATCAGGCAAAAATAAGGTAATTTCACGTATATTCTGACAGAATACTATATATTAAACTATTTCGAATGCAATTTCGTTAATATTTATTTACTAACTGAAATCTGATCAACAATATTAAATTTAAGGCGACATGGGTGAACCCTGCACTATCCCACGTAAATGAGTCAGCTCACTTAAGAACGACATCGATGCCCTGCATAATCAGGACGTGGGTATGGTGAAGTACCAATGGGATGTCTATCCTCCTGCTAAAAACGATTTTTTTTAATGTAAATGGTGAAAAATATACAACTGGACATTCCGACAACATTAAGTTGGGATCCACTGATAAGAAAGATTACAAACTGCATCACTATCATAGGTAAAGTTACAGATATCATTTTCTACAAAAACACTAGTATCTATCAAAATTGATCGTTCGACTAGAAAACCCTCAGTAAGTCTACTGTATAACTCAACTGATGTAAACTCCACCATGTTGACCTTTCCACATTATTTTTTAAAAATTGCTAACTCCACAAATATTCATTTTAACCAATTCCTGTATAACGTGTGCTTGCTATCTCTGGATGAAGGCTATATTCCAAAAATTTCTCATCCTTGAATTTGATTCGCTGATATGGGGTTTAGCACTATACTACCACTGAAGCTGTTAGAAAAGGGAATGGGGAAAACCCCTTGAAAAGGAGCAGGGCAATTAGTATCAGAATAAGTCGTTACATATGGAACCCCATACTGTATTGGGGCTGTAGGTACTGGTTGAAGAGTGTCAGGCGGGGGAATACACTTCATAGACAGTTCGCACAATTCACATTGCGGTGCTCCCTGTTTGTGTATGGCAGGTGGGAAACACGGTTCAACTTCGAATGGAATCTTTTTCAAAGGAAAACTCTCAACTGGGTGTATTTTATCAGCGAGGGTAAATCCTGGGGGTGGTGGAGGGGAAAGGTCGTCAGGAGAGTTGGTGATTGGTATGGTACAAACAGGTTGTGTGGGATATATAACTTGCTGTACTACTTCTGTTTTACTGGGTCTACTGCTTTTCGGAGTTTCGCTCAAAATCTGTCCTTGTGGGGCACTTTCTGCTCTCGGAGTGTCTTGTAAAACTGGAGAAATATTTTGAACTGCATGTACAATAACAGCCGAATTTTCATTGATTGTATTTACCGAAACGGCGCCAGGATTGTGTGAAAGTTGAAGCTGCGTCATTTGAGCTGTAAGATGTCCAAGTTGAGGCATCACACTTGGGTGCATGTGCATTGCGTTGGGATCTACTGATGATATCACAGTGCCCTGTAGATAGAATAAAAGAACATGACTGTGACTGTTCATATTAAATCTACACAGCAAAAAAATGTGGCCGAACCCAGAATAGTTTATAAAGCAGTAATAATAATATAAGATGATATACAAAACCATGATTTTTACATCTGGTTTCACTATAAGAATAGTAGGAAAAAATATTATATCAATTTGCTTTTACAATCGCTCACACACACATGCTGTTCACATATTATTCAATATTTTACTCACAGAATTGGTGGCATGGGATTGAACCACATAAGGCGGGGGTTGTACCCATGCCGGTGGGGCTTGAATTTGGTACGCTGGGTTTCCTGGTCCAGCTAAGTAAGGCTGCATCATTATTCTGTTGGGGCTAACACCCATCCTGAAAAAATACATAAAAATATCATTCAAAGAAATCGTCAGTACAAACGAAAATGCCTTATGGAATATAAATGATAATACTCGATAACTTACCCATTGTGGGTGATGGGGTCATACTGAAATGGCAAGTCATTACCCCAGCTTCGACCGTTACCCATGAATTTTTGATGTTGTTTGTTTTTCTTTGGGCCTCCATCTGCAAATTTGCACAGCAGAGGATCACTGCTATGATCTGAAATGAAATATAACCATTTATAAAAAACCTTATCGCAAAAAATATAAATACTGGGAACAAATCTTTTTCCCCAACTGTTTTATATATACACATAGGATTTTCAAAATTTACATACACATCTCTGAATAGTAAATACGACTATATACACAATAACATTAGGTAGAGAAAAGTAGAAATTTCTTCATCCTGTTTGGTGAAACAGGAAATTATCTTCTAAATATACAAGTGGGTGTGAATTCACACAAACTTGTGATATACGTAAAATGGTATTTTGAAAGGAGTGGAAAAAATAAACAGCATCCTATGGTGGCCCAATTATTTCATATTCTGTTCAGTTCAAAATTCTTAGCTGCAACAGGGTGAAAACAATGGTATTATACAGACAAACATAGTGAAGCGCGTTTTCTATATATTCACTACTTTCCATTGTTAAATTACTAATATATACTTACTAGTACCATTAGCGAGATATTTTCCATTGAATTTTTCTATAATGAGCTCGCATTTTTCTTTTGATTCCATCCTGGCGAAACCAACACCCTTGCTGACGCCATTATTATCTCGCAAAATTCTTGTGGAGATCACTTGTCCGAAAGGTAGCAGCATTTGTTCCAAATCGTGTTCATTGAAGTTAGGAGGGAGGTTTGAAAGATATAGATTAGTTGGATCTTGCTCTTGTTGCTAAAAAAAACATAAATTGTTTTGATAAATACCGGTAATAGAAAGTGAGTGTATTTGGTCACGTTTTGATTACTTTTATAGTAACATTTAGTCACGATAAACTAATGAATACAACTAAGTATCCCAGGATCACAACGTTAGTCTGGCTAGAACGATCTTGATATTATAGTAACAAGTATAAAAGCTCATATATTTACCTAAATATCTAAAATTTTTATGTACAGGAAAAAATTTTAGACCTTTTCTGTTTATGGTCATGTATGTTCTTTTTACCTTTGCCATTTGAGCTTGAATCCCCTTTGCTTTTAATTGTTGGACTGCATGATTTGCTGAGTCAAATCTATCAAAATCTACAAATCCATATCCTTTACATAAATTAGTTTGCGGATCAATGATAGCTTTCGTTGATACAATTTTGCCGTAACTGAAAAAAATAGGAAATTTAAAATGAGAAAATAGTATTTTGCGGAATATATTTGAACAAATTTTCTGATGTGTAAAACGCAGAGCTTTCACAATCTCATCCAGCTTGATAAATGGCACGAGCACAAATTTATTCGAGTATTCAAATTCACTTGAAAGTAAACAGATTCTGCGCTTTAAATTTCCGAGTAGACGCACAACGCAAACACTTTATTAATCTTCTTTAAATGGAATTTGATACAATAAGACTAAGGACAATGGATCTGTGTTAGCGTTGTTGGTTTTAGTAAGATGCAATTGACGAACGACTATCTATTGTGTTTGGGTCCTTGACAAAGTAAATAAAAGTAGAGGAGTGAACAAGTGCTTTCATACCGTTTGGAACTATATCATTCCTCAAGACAGAGAAATGACAACAATCTAACTACTTACTATGTAAACAATATAATTTGGCAAATTTTTCTACAAAGGCTAGTAGCTCAGTGGAACACCTATTATCGGAGTATTACAGCTTTTCAAACCAATCATAATATTTTATTTTCTGAATCCGAATATTTTACATCTATTAATACTGTGTTGTACTAGTTATATAATCATCATATTTGACTGGTAAATACAAATCGCCGAACTTTGTGTACAAAACATAGAGATAGATTGGGGTATCACTTTATTTATCTTTATCTATAGTAGGCTCATAAGGTCATTTCATTCAATCACATGCATCTTATTTCATAATTGGATGGAGTTCTTATGCATGAGTTAGTTACAAGGCCTCAAATATTTTAATCAGATTATTTCATACCCACTGTGGGTAAAACGTGACTTCTATGTTGTTCGACGAAAGTTAGGAGATAAAGACTAAGCTTACTTTAGCAATACAACTGACGCAATAGATTTGAGACTCAAGAAACAAAGTTTAGAACTAAGGTTTTATTTCTTAAACTAAAACCCAAAAATATGACAAAAGTCCATATGGGCTGGCAAAAGATTGTTTAAAAAATTGACATGCAACACAATCACCATCCTAACAGTAACAATACGAATCATCTTAATTGGTTTGTTGGATTTCATTCTACAATATTGATGAAATAAGTCCACAAAAAGTCTTCTCTTCTTATTGACTTATTTTTGCATGGGGCACATTAGGTAGCATGACAACTCTATAATATTTATGGTAACCAAGCAACAATATACCACACCTAAAAGGTCTATTCAGGTTTCAAAATGAAAAATAAAAAATGTAAGTAACTAAGTACAGTTCTGGAGAAGGCGTGTATCAATTTATACGCTTGGTTGACAATGCATAAACAGGATGAAGTCAAAATCTAAGTATAATAGAGGGTGGCTTGTGGTGGTATTATATGATTATAGGGAACAATCCCAGTGGCCTCTGATTTGAAATTGCCTATAATTTCATAGTTATAAATATACCAAGCATGAAAGATCTTGATTTTGTGTCAATAATTGAAATGACACCACCCAGTTAAGAAATGACAATGCACAGATAAAAGAAGTATTGTTTTTATTAGTTAACTTAAAAAATATATTTTTCATATAGAATCCTGGTACAAAATAGGCTGTGAATAAAATGGTGCTGCCCTGCCAATAATGTTGGTTGGGGAAAGACAAGGCATGAATACCTATAATTATTAATCCAGATTCCCGATATCTTATATATATGAATAGCAGTGGGCCTAAGACACGCCCTTGTGGTAGTCAAATTACGAATACGCAATATCAGGATATGCCCTATCACGGACTAAGTAGTAGCATAAATAATGACACGATGTGATTGGTATTTTTTAGCGTCATAAACAGCTATTGTGAATTCTGCGGGGATGATATTTAACAAAAACCTACAAAGTTCATGCGTAATTAACGACGTATAAGGCCGTCGAGGCTAATTTTATGGTATTTTGTGAGAGGCCATAAAAAGATAATAAAACGGTATCGATATAGTCTCAAGACGATATTCAACAGGCCGTTTTGGAAAGTCACCATCTGGCAAAGTTATTTTTATATGACGCAGAAACGTATCGAAAGCAATAATGCTTTCTTATTACGAATGAACCGAATTTAATATCCAATGAATTTTTAAGGATTTCTGAGACCAGGAAAATATCCAGAATGTATTTCAACAATAAAGATGCAACATACAGCTAAAAAAAGAATATGTATCTATTTAAATGAAACCATGAAATCAAAATGGTATTGGCGCGTCGTTGTGGGGTCATTTAAAGATTACGACGGTGTTAAAAAATTGATTGTCAAAAAGGCGAATTCAAATTATCCATCCCAACAGTCGAAAAACATGAAAAAACATATGTTTTACCTCGCTTCAACGCGTGTCCTTTCAATAATATGGACATTTTTGGCCATCTGTGGGCCACAGTTATTCCACGACCTACTGAAAACCTTTCAGGCCAACGTTTACTTTTGTCCTGTAACAAGACACCTTGTGTTGGCTTCAATACAATGCGGTGTAAATTCCGGCGGATCGCGATAAGAATTTTTTTTCAAGGCAAACTCGAATCAATTTTAGCCTTTAAATCGTAAGGTGAATGCTTATTTTAGTTTGAGTAGGTATTTTTAGTGACAACAATGAGCCATTGACTAAACACGTCAGGTCGAGTCTACGCCACAAACTGTGGTTTTTGAAATTGACTGAATGTCGTTCGTCTGAAATCCCCGAGAAACTTGCGCGGTCGAGGGAGGCTTCCGAGGTGCGCAGTTCTTATACAAATTTAATTTACCTGTGAATTGTTTACATCGATTCTTGTTTTACGCATAAATGTATATTCATAACATACTTCCCAAAGGGTAAATTCGAAAGGCGTTTTTATTAGCATTTGTGGCTAGATTAGTCGAGATCAAAATCATCAACTTTGTTTATTCACAAAATTTCCAGACTTATAATACCAATCACGCTTTAATTACATAATCATTCACTAATCTTGGACATGACGTGAAAACACATAATTGGAATGCAATAATATACTATGTCTGATAAAGATTATTCATACGCGAAGATAAAAGTCGAATCCCAACTGGTAAAATGTGATTCAAATTTTGACTTCTGCCATACCTTATTCAAATATAATTCGTGCTATTTGGCGTAGAATATGAAGTACTGAAGTCAATACAGCAGTGGTAAATATTTATTTCAAAACCACAACAATCAAAGAATAATATCTTCGAACAAACACGGGTAAGGTTATATCATAACAAATATATGAAATCCAGACGCGAGCCATGTTATTGATGGGAAATTTGGGCTTGAGCTTTCCAGAAACACGGAAACCGATATTGAAAGAAATAATTGAAACAATGATAAAAATGGCATGACTAATAACAAAGTCAAGTGCATGACTTTTAATCAAAGTCTTCAAGTCTGTTATATCCTCAGAAAGGGACCAAAGAATTGAAACCAAAACTTCGTGTAGGAAATCTTTCGTGGAGATATTGGTTAACCACGCAAAAGTCATATCTAGAAACTTTGTAGTACTAGTTATTTCATAATTCACTGACTTTATGATAGAACTTATAACGCTCTGTGACCGTGAAAAAGCAGTAATAATCTTATCATTGCAGATTATTACTGCTTATTGCAGAACTCTGATGAAAATCAAGTAAACCGCAAAATAATGTAAATTTGATTGTATCAGTAATATATTTTAGTCCACTTATTATTTGTATTTGAATTATCGGTATACGGAAATGAAAAATGAATGATTGAATATCTCCTAGGTAATTAGTCGAGGTCACTGATCAAGTATTAAAACCGGAAGAAAGGTTGTGGGACCGGAAATAGGATCAAGATGGGCATACACTAATCGAAAACTGCTGAATGGTTTCTTGACTTACGATTTGCATAGCTCGACGAGATCTTCGTCGGTGGTGTTTGGAGTCAGTCCTCGAATGTATAAGTTTGTTTTGCTAAGATCGCCCGATCCGGAGTGACCGTTCATCGTCTGGGTTGGCGCAGGGTTGTTGATCAAGATACCCTAAAATGCAACAAATTGGAGTCATACATATTGTCATACCTACATGTCGCTTGGAATATCAACAAGCCTACAAAAATGGACATAATTGTTAAAGCTATTCATGTTTAGGCCTAACTGCTTCCGCAAGCAAACTCTTGGAAGGTATGTTAACCAGAATAAAGTAGTACATTGCTTGCCAAGTGGCATATTTAATCCGTGTGTCCCGAATCAAGCAGTAGGAAAACTTTGTCTCGACGGTAACCACAAAGAAGTGTAATTTACCTGTGGCATCGACTGAAGTATTGGACCTTGGAGGGTCATGTTCTGTGGACTTCCTGAGCCACTGGACGGGCTACCTGAAAAAATGAAACAAACAACAATTTAGTAAATGTGCGATGCTATAAAAGTCAGAGACAACTGCTCCAACCATATTCAAATAAGTTCGGCGAAAAGTACGACTAAAGACATAAAATCGATAATTTTGATTAGCGGAGACATGAAATCTCAATTTTGCGGAACAGCTTTGACTTTAATGGTTTCATATGCGCTGCCAATAATATTATTTTTTATATAATATAATCTTTTCCGGACGGTTACGCCAAATAGTGCGGGCGAACGGGGGACTAGCGTCTCACTAATTGATTTAACTCTAAATCGTAAAGTCCGACCATGTTGGCGCGGTTAAGAAGGCGATCAAGGCCGCCCTCGTCTTAAAATATTAATGTGGAATACCGTGACGGGCATTCCTGCACAGTGCACACATTAGTGACATTAAAATGACGTTGAATATGGTGATTTAAACATGCATAAACCGTAGATAAGCTAGACTAAGTAGTTCGTTTTTCCAAAGAAAATTCTTGTACAGAGCGTGATAGTAAAACAAGAACGCGTGCCTTCCATATGTCGTATTTTTGTATCGAACATTTGACAGTAAAATACTTTCATTTGGCAGTCAATAAAGCCAATAATCTTGCAACAACTTTATAAAAATAACTTCATAAAAAATACAAGCAAGACTTTTCCGTCATTTTGACAGTGACATAAACAAAAATGTCTCAATCGAATATACAGTTAAACAGTGAACAGCAGAGAGCGAACAAGAATAATGAACAGAAAATTGCTTATAATGGCGTCTGGATTTATTCCAAAATTCGCTATGCCCCAAAATACACAAAAACGTATCAGTGAGCACCATTACAATTTGCCTAAAATCTATAAAGCAAATGTTGATCTGTTGAAGTTACATTGTTATGAAAATCTCAATGTTATTATTACCTGTGCTGTTGGAATGTTGCGAAGATGATGTGTTACTAACGGTAGAAGGAGATGGGGGAGGCATGTTACGACCGTGATGAGGGGCAGTAGCGTGAGCGTAAGGCTGAAAAAGAATAGAAAATGATTACTATAAATGACTACGTGACCACATTTTATTGACCAGGGCAAAAGATGACCTCATCAGAGTGAAATTTAAATATGCAAATTTACTCTTGACTAAGATTTCAAAGTATTACGGAAATGATGGCAGCCAGGATGTTATGATGTTAGAGCCTTTCCGGTGTCACATTGCAAGTTTAACTTATATATATAAAAAAATATAAAAATGATGAAATGTATGTACCAACTATGGAACATACTTTACTGAAGGTATAACAGCGTATAAACACTTCTAAATTCTACCCAACGGTAAAAATCGTTCACGCATATGTTTTCAACTAAGTCACCCAATGCATAAAATTATATGATTGAGAACATCCAATAAGGCGACGCTGGAATAGTGTTGAAAAATATAAGCTTACAAAGTACTGTTATGCAAAATGATGTGAAGCAGGAATAGTTTTAATACCGCATTACAGCGTTAATTATTATTATCTAGATATTATACGGATAGAACGATATATAATCACCGGATACCGTCATTCAGCCGGTGTGAGATCCACATATACAATACAGGGAAGAGATATGACGAATTTAGTACCTCTATGACTATATTACGAAACATATTATTAGAGCCGAGTTTATCCGGGGAACAAAATATAGATTTAAAAGTATTTAAAGATAGGATTTTTTTCAATACTTGCATCGACTAATGAGGAAAGTAGACATTTGGCTTAAACTTCGTCACCTTAAGTGTCTAGATAAAATAATCACGATCAGTGCCAAATCTGTGTTAATTAGGAAGCATTTCTCATTTTCGTTTTCCCACACATCTACGCTTACGGCAATCTGGATAGTGTGAACATACGGCGAGAAAAGTTTCACACCGAGTTGTCTGACGCGAAACAGACAATTGTAACAAATGGGGGCGACTAATTACACTTCGCAACATGGAGACGTGCTGTTTTGTAGTAGCCACATTTGGTCATACAAGATGATATCAGAATTAAGTCTCTTTCGATAAACAAAAAACTGGAAGTTTTAACATCTGTGGAACTTTTTTAAACCCAGAGTTTGTAAAAAAAAATTCAACTTCTGCCGCAACTATATAATTTTCTTACAAAATGACAATTATTGTCAATATTTTTCTTCAATCCACCAATAAGTAATTTCTCGCATCCAACTAACTGCCTCACGACAGTGGCTTTCAATGTTGTGTGAAAATAGTTTCAATTTTTTTATCAGATGAACATGTATTGATGGAAAGAACCGAAATTCTAACCAGGAAAATAATTTTTAAAATAGTTTATTGAAGAAAAAAAAAAAAAACAGCCGGGTGGCATTCACAATAAAACGATATCAGTAGTAAAACAGTGAATTGCATATATATTATATTCGACCTGTAAATTTAATGAAAAATAATATTCTTAGATGGGATATAAAACATTATTATATGCCATTTAAATGTGCGTTTCTCTTCTGTAAACTAATATTACATTCTAACATTCCGATTACTGTTTGCTAAAACAAAAAAACACCAATAAATTTTAGTTTGCATAGAGAACTCTATTTACAAGCAAGAACTAGCTTAGAGCGGTGTTTTTCAGAAGCGGTCCAAGTGAGATTAAACATATCCTCTAGTCAAAATTTAATTTACTGTAATAATGAGTATCAAACTATCATTACATTATAGCCACAAAAGGTCAAAGATCAAACCAGAAGCATCAAATATGTAATCTGTGGATGCAAACACAATCTTTTAAACAAAGAAAAGGGTCAGATAACGCGAAATGACCGCACGTACGGCAGTTTGATCGAAATGCGCAGTCCAAAATTACGAATATTACATCTAAAGACTTGTGTTCACTAATTCTTTCTCTAAATTTTTCCAAAAATCGAAATTTAATGTGCATTTTGTTTTTACACATATATAATAAATTTCTATAGTTGAGTCAATAATTATAGTCAAAAATCATTCTATTAAATAGCACCTCTTTAAGATGTAATGCAGATATGAATTAGTTAGTTGTGTGTCATTTATACATCTCGATTATCGACCCTACGGCACGTAAAGAATTCTTCCTTCTGTCTGGCTCGGCATCTAAATATATATTTCGCGTCAAAAAGACGTCATTCGATGCCCGATGGTTTCAAGTAAACGCGGGACATACGTGGTTCCCCTATGAAAAACGGCAATCTTCAACCACTTTGACTCGCCCAGTACGAAATTGCCTATTCTTGGCTAATAAGAGAATTCATAAACTTACCCAAACTGGGAGAGGATTGGATGCCCAGACGTACATGCTTTGAAAAACTTCGTATGTAATATTTGAGCGTTCCGGAGTGGAAAATATTAGTAGCACCAGTCAATGATATATCTTCAATGAGATGGAAGCTAGAGCAGTTTTTTTTCGTCTTTTTTCTTGGGTAAATTGATCTGCCTTGATTACGTTATGGCAGATTATGTCTTTCGAGTACAAGATACAATTTTCACGCTGATTGGTAAAAGTATGAGTAGATATGGGAACGATACGCGACACACTATGAATATGTATATATGATACACTTCCTTGGAAATTCCAACGAGGGCGTTTAATGATAGAATATAATAATAGGCAGGCGAAGAGTTGCGTGTTTCTATAACTCCAAGTTAATTTTGGTTATAAGCGGTTAAATACTGATTAGGCTATACAGAATATATATAATATATGTATATATATGTAGAATATATAAGCTGCAAAATATGTGAAAATTTTGAAATTATTGTTCAGCAAAGAGTAGTAAATAAAGACAAGATTAGGAGTCTGGGAAAAATTACATATAAACTGAAACCAAAAATAGGCAATACGATAAACGTCACTGACAGCTGCATATACTGACTCTATCCTATACTTTCCTTTTTCATATAAGCTAATATAGATCAAACATAATGAAACATATGTACTCAATGATCCAACCTGTGTGCTACAATATCTGCCTATTGTCTGCCTACAAACTTAGATACAATATTTGATACATTGCCTTGCGTAAAACAAAAGGAAAAACGTAGCAACAACGCCTTTGTAAACTAAAACACAATAGGAATACAATTGAGGCGGTCGTCGAAATAACGAAATATCATCATATATGTGCTCACCACAGCTTACTAGATTTAATGTTTGCGCTTTCTCGTACCACACAGAGAAATAAACTTAACAATAACCAGTTGCTACATACGGCTTTTGTTATAAGAGGACGAGCGCCGCGTGACTTCGCGGCTTACGCCGGACAAACATTGCATTTGTGAAATAATGAATACGCCGGCCGGTTGGGCATTTAAAAAGCAACCGACGCAACCATAAGCGCTAAACAAGCTAAGCCGGTGCTTCTTCACGCGATGCTTGATGCTATAGAAAGACAGTTTACACGAATCAATCTGAAATCAAGGAAGTGACATTCTTCCGGAGAAACACGCCACGCAAACGAAGAAGGCTTTCATCAAATCAATCATAATTCACATCTTGCCTATACAGTCAAACATATATCTAAAATATTATGAAATATTTACCTAAGTCGACTCTTGCTTTAGGCCTGTATTAGTCATTTCTAGGTAAAGCATCAATGGAGTATGGAGACACAAGGTTGCATAGCGAAAGTTTACACACGGCAAACCACCAACAAAATTTAAATTCGCCTACGCTTCAAATGTTTACTTATCTTATTAGAGCTCGTACATTCGGCTGGTCCAAGTTGTGTATACAATTAACACTTTCTAAATCGAAGTACAGACATTGGTTCCGGTTTTAAAATATCACGAGATATAAATTTTTACTTGCTAAACGTCCCGAGGCATAACGTATCATCAGCGTATGACAAATTCATCCATCAGTAGCCAACAGTTCAATAGTTCGTCTGGGAAGGCTATCGTACACGAAAACTTCTGAGTCACACGCAGCAACCCACCAATTCCATCAGACTTCAAGAGCGAAATAACAACTCTGCGATAGAACGAGACACAACATGTCAAGTTTGTGTCATCTGGGAAGCGAAAAAGGAACGGCATCGACGATACTTTATGATCGATGACGCCGAAGAAATCCAATCACAAATTGACAAAAGTAGAGAATGCTTATTTCATCTTATGGCTAATGAAATAAATTAATAATATAATGTATCAGTCGGACTCGCGAAACCATTTGTTACTCTCGCTGATTTCTTTCGCTTTTGAAACGTCTAATTAAAAATAAAAGATATAAAATTTTGACGTGAGATATTTTAATCCCCAACGCCGTTCGGCTAACAAATAGCGCGGATTAGGAATAAAGCTACGCAATTTGTTCTAACCTTTTAGCACACTCTAAGAAACTAAGGCAGAAAAGACTAAAAGACGAGGCAAATTTCGCCATTTGCCAAGATGACGGCCACACCCAATTTGAAAGCTCGTTTTACGTACCGCACACTCGAGATACCAAAAGCGAAAATCTCCTTACTAAAACCAACATAGATATCTTTAGTAAACAATGGAAAGCACAGTCAGAAAAACCCATACTTCATGTACGGTCCATCCCTAAAAACGATCTAGTTACAAAAAGTACACACAGTCAATATGTCCCAAAGTATTTAACTTTATATAGGAAACGCCTAAATCTAAACCTAAAAACACGAAATAGTAAATCGTATCTCGGCTACGTGGGATCAACTAACTTGAATAAAATACAACTACGCTTGTTCTGAGCAAATTTGTGGGCGGCTGAGAAGGCAGCCAAGTTGAACGCACGTTACACGGATGATCGGTCGGGGATCGACACGCGATGATATTACGCAGCTCATGATCGGAGACCCTAACCAGAGTTCCCATTTACCAAAAGTTGGCCCAAAACTATTCCAATTCGACGCACAAAATTACGAAAATATCCTAAACCTTGCAGTTATTTTATATTATCTTTCCTACTTCACTAAACCGTTTGAATACTACGTCCCGGCACTTATATTCAAAAGTACATAAAACCACTGTGGCAACACTACCAAAAATGACTGAATCCTATTCGTCATAAGGTGGTCAGAGCTCTCAGGAAACGACTACAACCAAAAACAACGCACATAATAAAAAACTACAAAAGCCGAGAAAATCACTTCTTAAGGTGTAGCTTATAAATTCTGATGAAAGAAAGAGAAAAAAAGAAAAAGGCAGGCCAAGTAAGCAATGCTTCCTGTGACTTACTCGTGCGTATGACTAAAGGTTAGAACCGTTTCATGATTTGCGTAGCTAAACTTTTTTTAAATTTAAATAACAACACTCGTAAGCGGCAGTGCGATACCTAGCCCGAGGCGACCACTATCAATTTGAATCACAGTTCGTTTTCCCAAAACTGCAGAAAAGGGCAAGAGATCACTTGAAATCGCATTGCTGACAACATGTAATTAAATATTTACGTGGAGTAAATATCACAGAGTCAAGCCTGGCCCAGGCAAAAAAAAACGAAGATTATACTAATGTACAAGTGTGGCGATTAATTCAACAAGTTATATATTTAACACACCCAGAATGCACTTAACACACCCAGAATGCAAGTCCCCAAAAATGAAAATAAATTAACATAAAACTACACAGTAAATAATAACGCACGGTAATGGGTACGCTTACGACAAATAAGTAAGTAATGACTAGGTAATGCGGTATAAACGGAGTGGACGTTTTCAGGATATGGTTAAATTCGGAAAGAAAAACTCAAACTACCACAAAAGTCCGAAGAAAGTAACACATTTTTTTCAACTACATACAAACCTGCCGGCCGGAAAAGCTGGAAATATTGTAATCTGAGATATAGTAACCGGTTGAAAAAATAAAGTGGGAAAGGGAAATCTTAAAAGTTAAAGAACATCCAGCTTAGGAAATCTATTTTATAAATATAAATAATCTTTTCCGTATTATGAGGCAAACAAATCAGGGATAATCGGGGTGCTTGGTATAGATTGACGCAGTATATATACGTATTGGAATTGAGAGAAACGAAATAGCGGAGGAGAAATTGCTATTAAACTCAGCATATCAAGACAATGACACATACGTTAACGCAAATGGAGATTAGCGTATGCCATTAGAAATGGAACTTGTGTAAAATATACGACATTGTACAAGCATGCAAAGCCGCAATTTGGGTACAAATGGACTATAAAACAACGTCTAATATATCTTTCCATATAGTTCCGCGTTATATTTGACCATAATCGTCAATACCTATATGTTACACAAGTAATACGAAATTATTATCTTCAACAAAATTTGGTGAATTTGGGTTGCGCATATACAGCTAATTAGCATATGATCTTTCGTGAATAAAGGCAGTATACTCGTCAAAATGAAACCTGAAAGAATACAAAATTACATTTGAACTGAATGTATATATAAATAAATTCAATATCAACAAAACCAAATGTAAAGATTTCACACCGCCATTCGTAGGCTCATTCTGACGCCAGGACTGAAATTTTGAAGTAGTGAAGTAGTGTTGTTGCATTATTTAATTACGTAACCTACAAAATACTATAACCGCTATAATTTGAGTAGAGTACATATCATAAACGTTGACTAAATAAAAATGCCGATACAACAATGCTTTGCATACTGAGTCGAATTTAAATCCCTTACTATGGCATGTCGCGGTAGAGCAGCAAACATTCCCTATTTGGAAAAGCGTACGATTTTTTATTTGATGACTACGCATGGTTCATGCGAAAGGCATGTGATTATGACAACATTGCAGGATTTTTAGTTATGTATGTTTTTATTAAAAAAACTAGATTTGCAGCGGTGCAAGGCACTGCCTGTCGGATCTGATTGCCGAACGAGCTAGCGATGAATCAACAGTAAAACAGGTACAGAGTGTAACTCGATTGATATCTCGCACTTAATTGCGTTTCTCAAGCACCACGCAGGAACGGTTTTAGTCTGGAACACAGCCACGCCAAGATGATCAATGCATATAGAAAAGCAACACTCCAACACATGCTTCTAACATGGCCAGGCCCAACTCGATGCAAAAGTATTGATACCTCGTTCAGGCTCTTACGGGTGGCATTTATTTTGCATAACATTAGTCTCAATGCGACCTGTGAGTCACTTCCGGGTCTTATTTCCGGTGTGTTGTAAGGCAGTGGGTTGTGAAACAACACATCTTTGAGTATACAGTAGAATTTAAATTAAAATATATATGCAAAAAGTTTTCGATTGATCAATGTGATATCTTATCATTGCCTTGTCAAATCTTACATTGGTTTTCAAAAATTCTCGACATATTCACGACACATTCATAAATACACAGATGAACTTTTGGCGAACAAGACATATTATTGCTTATAATGGAACCATCTAGATCGCAAAAGTAAGAAAAGTAACCTCCCAATTTTACGGCAATGCCGTAGAACGTATATGAAAAACGGGTCGAAAATGCGCTAGCGATTAGTATCACCAAGGTCTTGTTAACGCCAGTTGATCTTGATATCGTAGAGAGTAAAACGCTGTAATAACTGTTATTATATTTTGACACGCATTGGAACGGGTCACAGGTCACGAAAACAAGTTTCATCGGACAAGGATTCGCTGAGCTAGAAATAGGATGTGTTGTTCTTAGTTATGTTATTGTTACACTCGACCAACCGCAATTTGTAATGAAACTATAAACGAAGGAGCTTTAAAGTTTGGCAAACCAAATCACAACACACGCTGACCAAACAATGAT